GACGAAATGCTTTATTAAACCATTTTTTACCCCATTCTGATTCTGGGCTAATGGGCACTCGTGTCATGAACTTCTGGAAATTCACGTACTGTGTCATACTGTCACCAAATGAATTACAGTATGCTAGGTACGGTACTAAGGTACATACATATATGTAGTTATGCGACATAGCTTATTAGGCTTAGCGGTTGTTCTTTGTATTTATGGACTGCATGATGTATTGAGAAAGTCAAGCTATTAAGACTGGTACAGAGGTCATCATCCTGAACGTAGCCGCGTTTGTAGCGCTCATATTCACTGTAGAATATTCTCGAAAATAGAATCGTTCACCTGTGGTAGTTAAACTGTATAAAACTCGTCTTGATGAAAGCATTATCTGCAACTTACCACGAGTCACGAACAAGCAAGTGCTGAACTCAAACACTTGCGCTTGACGTAGTTAAATAGAACACCTAACGTTAATAATGAGCACAGAAACATTCTCAAAATCTACCACGGTTACCAACCGCGTGCTGGTCGCAGATACGGTGGATAGCAATGCAAGATTTGAATACGCATCATTTAAGCACACCTGTCAACGGTTACGAAGTTGGCGTTTTCCGCCATTGAAGAACTTAACCTGATTTCAACCTGAATTACCATGCGTAAGTGTCAAATACCTTGGATCGTTTTATAGGTTAGCAACATGCTATTTGATATCTGATCTTTCTGTCACCTAAGCACATGATACATACATACTTTCAGAGCAGTCTTCGCCGGCGAAGCCTCTGATACAGGCGCATAGCCGTACTTTTGGGCTGACGTCGATACACGTGCCGTTATTCTTGCATTGCATTTCCTTCCTCTTGCACAGACAAGGTTCTCGAAATTCTGTCGCTCTTTCCTCACAGCACTTTGGATTTGGCTGGTCGCACTTTTCGTTCGGGTGCGTGTTGTGCGGTCGATAACGATATTTGGGCGACATACCACAAGGCTTACTGTAGCTCCACGGCGACCACACAGTCTGATTGCAGTGCGGGCACATGCACATGTTGCCTGCCAGGCTCGCATTGGGGCAGTGGCCATAGGGAGCTTCTGGCGGCGTGGTTATTTGGAAAACACAGTACAGGGTTTCCTGATAATGCTCACAGGTAACCTCACACATTTTATACTTTCCTGTGATACACGGCGCGGTATTCATGACTGTTTCGATGCCGAGGAAATATTCGTTTCTAATCGTGCCGTTTATCATGTATCTTCCAATAACGCCATCAGCCTCGTAATTGGCTATCGTGTTTGCCAGATCTCTTTTCTCAGTAGCGTTCGCGTAAAGGTCAATCCTTCTCACTATTCCTCTTTCGTTGTAGCCGACGAAGTTCACGACCTTCCCTTTCTCGTCGAATTCCCTGACGGCAACATGGCAGTCGTTGTGTGGAACGTCGACACATTTGACCACTATGTACGGTTCGATAATGAAGAACTTTTTAGTCGGTGTACCCTTGCGCCATAACTCTTTCAGATCGATGTCTGGGTAGAACTTGACCAGTTCGGACAAAGATGCTGAGCGACCTCTCTTGAACTCTTCGCAGGTTGTCAGCGAGTGATTTGGAAGAATTTCCATTGGCAACGGGATAACAAAGCAGTGATTGGTTATTTCTCGAGAATAGATAATTCGAACGTCACTTTCGCTTGGACACATGTTCCTCGCTGTCAGTTTGTTCAGAAAAAGTATTGCGGCGAGAAACAGCACTAACAGTGCTAACCGATTATCCTATAATTAAGAATGAATGCATAGCTGCTCCTATGACAGATCGAAGACGGTCATTTTGAACCAGCCATCGAAACTTAATAATTGTATTTGTATTCAAGTGCAAAGGGCGCATGTAATGGTGCACGTGGGCTGCACAGCAACGGGCAAACTATTATAAGTAAAACTTACGTTAAAAAATTTTCACACGTACAATGTAGTACTGCAGAAAGTGACCATTAGTGTGCTTTGTCGATAACTGGTAACTGGTATGCATTCGAAAAAAAATGAGAGGTTTTCTTACGTCAACGTATCAATTACGAGTGGTTGCTGGTAGTTCGTGAAAATATGTTCTCGAATAGACCATGGAACTCAGAACTCAGTAATGCTGGAGCTAAACCGTACAGTGTGATGAAAGTAAAGCTGAACTGTATTTCAACCCATCTTTGTTTCTCTACGTACGCTTGATGTGACTCTAAGAACTGACCAAAGCGTGCCAAGCATTTATACCATTGGCAGAAGTTGCGTGCGATCGCCGGCGCTACGACACGAGGGTGCGCGATTGGAAGACGTATATTGGAGATATTCTCGCTCTTGTGAGCCGCTGTATAAATTTACACTTCATGAACTTGTCATCATGAACGGTTTAAACCTGTCCCAATTATGTCCGAGCATGGGTTCGCAAAACCTCAGGCAGAGCGGCAAACCGATCCGCTAGTGCATATCGATATGCTGATAACTATGATTTCCTTGCCTTTGAATCCTGATCATTTATCTACTCGATTGCCAGAGGAAAACGACTAATGGAAGAACCACTTGAAGTTATTTTACTTGTGAAGTGAAAGAAACAGCTGCGCTAAAGAACGAGGGATTACATGAGTGAATTAATGAATGAACTGGAATGGAAACTTGCCCATGGACGGAAAACACTGCGTCAATAAACAAATGAATCACTTGAAGAGTAGACAAATAAACGAATGTAACAACGAACGACTGAACGAGGCTTGAAATGACTTGACTGCGTGTGGCATTTGGTGAATCGCGTTATTTAATCTGCTTAGACATTCTCTTGGCGTTGCCATTGTCATCAGTTCTCCTATCCATCAGAAGTACTAGCAGGAAGTAACCAGAGCACTTTGACACGGATTTGCAGGAGAGATATAGGAACGTTGGAAACTGTTTACAAAATCACGAATTGATTTCATGGATAATTAAAACCACAACAGAATGATTCTTTCACGTACTTTAGGCAGAATAACAAGGTATTATAACCGGTTCGCAGTTTAATGCAGTGTATATACAGTTGGGGAAAAATAATAAGTTAAAGTCTCGTGTTAATCCTGAAGAACTGAATAAAATATTTTTTTAGCTCCTTGCTGTGGTAACAGCGAACGATGACTCACTTACTAAATCTGGGTGGGGGGTTCATGGATCACAAGAAATTTAGAATGTAATTTGAAGGTAGTTTCACAACGTTTAAATGGTGATGATAAAACGTCCAAAATTATTCAGCTCTTCGTCTGCACTAAAACTCGCATTCTAACAGTCATTTCGTTCGTTCGGTTTTTTAGAGTTGATCGTGTGCTAATATCCGTGCTGTAAATCGAGAATGATAGCTGATCAAATGATACATTGCTTTTTCCAGCGAGATTTTATGAATTATTATCCTGTAGATGATTAGGTGAGGGATGGAAAGATTTTAGCAGGCTGCAGCTCAATGGTATTTATACAGCTGTATTACCAAATGTATCGTACACTAGAGTTACCTCACACTTATTGCGAGTAATGTTTAAGGACTTGGCACTCATTATATGCTGCCGCGTAATCATTATCATGCATTGTTCGTGCGCTGGATTCTGTCAGTGAACATATGACTCTTCTAAGTCCTTGTCTATGTTTATGCGATAGCCTATAGGAAGTACCAGTTCCAGAAACATCGTTCATGGTAAACGCCAGATGGCTTTGGCGGACAAAATTATGTGTGATGTTTATGGCCCTGGAGGTATTCAAATATCATTGAGCATTGGTCGACTTAAATGCCTCCTAAACAACTAAGAGCGAGCTGGCAGTACAATACGTCGTGAAATATGGTCTTGAGTTAGTCATGCGTTATTTATCATACTAAAGCCTATGAACTACCACTGATAGTCAAATTGGCAGTGACTATAAGTGCTATGTAAATGGGCCGTTCGAAAGAATAACGTTGATGAGATTATGCTTAGAGTTGTTGTATCATTCAGTGTGTTCTGTAGGTTTCAATGCAGCACATTATGTAGCAACAACTTTTACGAATGATAGTACACGAGACCTCGAAACGAGAAACAAATTGCTCAGGTGAATGTAGAGATCTATAAGCTTAAAATTTTGGCCGTGATGAATAAATAGTTTAACACGCTTCGGCATTCAAATCTGTCTACACAACTGTCCTCAATTGGTCTGTCTGTCTGTCTGTCTGTCCTCCATCCGTCTGTGTACCTGTCTTCTAGCAGGTAATCAACGTTTAGTTTGGAGTAACTGAGCGTTATCTGATATACTAGCAGCAGAAATGAAGTTTATTTGAAGGATTGCTGGTTTGAAGAGACTTAACAATGTCTGATACAACGCAAACTAGCATTCCGTCGTTCGTAACTGCTCCTCCAAAATGAGATTTCAAAATTGCGTGGCAACGCGAGAGTTGAGGATGCCAGGAGGGAACCCCTGATGCGAATCCTTTTCTCGTGTACACATAGACCGATACAAGAAGTCGATCGTAGCCGAATTGCTCAAGTTTACCAAACAAGTGAAGTCCAGTCCAGCTACTGGATTTTACCCAACTAGCAAAGGCCGGAACCATTTCATAAACTTCCTGAAACTGCTTCCCTACCACCTTCATGAATTGCGCAATTTCTGAACATTAATGAAAATGAGCAATTATTCCTAGATATTGAAAAAAACAGCTGTTACCGGTTCTCACACGATCAAAA